AAGCCTGCATATGTGTACAATGGCCGATAAACCCAGCAAAAGAAACTTACCAGCTAATTCTGTTTTCTTAACTCTGTTATACTCTTAGGGAATATCTAGAATTAAATGTTTGTACAGGCAGCTTCTATTTTGATTTTGTTCCATCTCTAATAGCAGTAACATGATTCAACGCAATACTGCAAAGTATTGCAATATTTGCATTGCTTTTTGTTTTCTCTTTATATTCATTAATAAAATAATCTCACTATGAAATATCATCATTACTTACATCTCTGAATGTGAGATCCACACATCTCTTTTTTTGTGTGTTATGTATTCCCTTTGTCTTATTTAGCATTTGCAGATACCCATGTTCCAGACCAGGTGCTATGTAGGGTGCGTAAGGCCTGTGTCTTAGAGGATGCTGGAATTGTAATTGAGTTATGGATTACTGCTTTCCCAGGACTGAAATTTGCAGTATATCTTGCATTTCTAGTCTTTGCCAGCTTAAGCAGAGTGTATTATTTTTACAACCATTTAATCAATAAGGATTGAAGTGTGAAATGAAATGTCAGTGCCTGCAGGTAAGATGGCTTTCCATCCAGCTCCAGAATGTTTTTATGGCTACTGCAGATCACTTTTTTTTTTTTGTTGTTTGTTTTCCCAAAGTAGCTTTCTTCAAGGCACTAATTATTCAGACATAGGTTGGAAAATGGAAACCCACCCATAGTGATGACAGCTGGATGAATGTGCAGTACAAAGCAAAAAGCTTCACATGTTAACTGGAAAGAAATAAATTCTTCCTATACATGCCAGGTTTCTTTCAAGGAGATTTCACTGTTTTAGCAGAATAAATCCAGTTATTCCCTCTCCATATTGAAGAAATATATTGAAGACAAAACCAGATTGGACAGGGTCTGGGGCAAACTGATATTATGGAAGGTGTCTTTGCCCATGGCAAGGGATTTGGTACCAGATGATCTATAGGTTCAATTTCAACCCAAACCATTCTATCATCCTATGAAGTATAAAAGAAGAGGTCACCAAAGTGCCCTCACAGTATTTACTATCTTCATGTCTTCACCAAGGCTATGGAAGGCAGGAAAAGACAGCCACAGTCAGAATTTGAACTGTCACTGAAAATGACAGTATGTCTCCAGGCAGTACCTAAGAGGAAATCTCACCCCTGTGTCACCTCTGACACCCATTGCGTGTCTTTATATATTTTTCTAAACTTGACATTGTCCTGTGGCTTATTTTCAGCTGTAAGATTTGACTGTGCTAATAATGTCAACTGAACTCATTGGTTTTCACACTTCTCTGACTGCATGAGGAGGGAGTAATAGCAGTACAGCTTTTCTCCACTGCAAAAACATGTTAACTTTAACAGTGGGAAGCTGTGCAGAGCTTGCAAGTGCAGGAAAAAAAATAAGAACACAGCATTTCATTTCTCCAATTTATCACCTCCAAATTTCCCCTTGGAAAAAAAAGCAAGTGTATAAAAAAAAATGGAAAGTCCATAATTCTCTCAATGTTCTTCATAAGAGGTCAAACCAAAGGTTAAAGAATTTAATCATTTGATTTAAAAACCTGTTGATTGACTGTAATGATGGGCATCTCCTGAAGAATTAGTTTTGAAAACAGTTTTTCTAGACTTTCATTAGGCGTGAGTAAACGTATCTACATTTTCATTATGTTCCCTTTTGTCCTTATGTTGTTGGACAAAGCTTATAATCAAGACTTGGAAGGAGGGATGTTTGTTTGTTTATTGTTGTTCTTGTAAACAGAAAAGAAAATGCCTAGAAAAGTGGGAACAGCATATACTGCCCTGTGCAGGCCTGTTCCAGTCCTGCTGCACAGTAGCCTTAGAAAGCTTTTCTTTCTTCTGCACAATGGGAGAAGATGAAAGGTTGCCATTATGATCTCTCACAACACTGAGAATGGGGCAGTATCACAGTAACATATATGAGATGATAATTTCTGTTACGGTGTCATAACCTGATAATATAGTTTTACAGGATACAATTTATTATACCTAGTCTACTATATAGTAATTTTACAGTTGAAAAATTCACAAAAGACAGAGGAGTTCAGTCCCATGATTTTCCACACATAAAATTTAATGACCATGGAAGTCCAAACTTCTTTTTTTTAAAGACTGGGTACATCCAACACTGAGTGCATACTGCCCTATTTACATCACCTGTAGGAAAACATTTGCTGAGTTTAGCATTTTCTGAGAAGGTCAGTGGACTTTATAACAGTGTCTGAACACATCTCAGAAAATACTGACAATAAGTCAAGAAGAGCTGGAAATACCTGACTGGGAGAAGTGAGCTATGAGGAAAAAAAAAACAAAAAACAAAAAACAAAGAACCTCTACAGTTTGAGTTCAGAGATTGGTATTGGAAAAAAATATTCATGCATGGATCTGAAGCAAATGAGGAAAGAGTGCAGTGCACATTAGAACGAAAATTTGGTTGTAATCCCAAATCTATTGAAGTCAGTGGAAGAACTTATATTGGCTTTAAAGAATATTAAATTGTGGCATGATTCCTGAGCTGCCTTTGGGTTACAGAGTCACAGGAATTATGCCAAGATTTCAAACATCTGCTGAAATCATTGCTTAAATAGAAAAGTCAAAGGTGGCACTTTAAGCCATTTTCCACTTAATATAAAATCATCCTGTAGAGTGAAATCTTTTCTTTTAAATAAAGTGTCAAAAATGGCTTTTGATATCTATCAAAGAAATATCTGCCTAGAAAAACACATCAGATTTCAAACTGGCACAAGTCAGCATTGTGTAAGCTTCAATTTAGAAGGTTTTAGAGTTTTTCGTCAGAATGTCTACTTATCTAATCTCATTTACGTGTTAAAAATCATCATATATACTCCATTTAAATTATTCTGACAGTCTTTTATTACAAATGCATAAAGCACATTTAACCTAGTTTTGAAAACATATTGCATGGATTTCTTTGACTGCAAATGGCTTTTTTTTCTGGGAAGGCAGATTGTGTTGTGATGTACCTTATCTGTGTTCTGCTCTAGAGCTCACTTAGTTTTATGATGTTAACATTAAGTGCTCCATGGAGTCAGTTCTTGAGGGCAGTCTGCCCTTAGAATAAAGGAGACTTACAAAAGGGCCAGAAGTCAAATACTAAACTGCATGCAGTTAGATTAAAACCAGCATTATGAGAAAAATGGGTGACATACATAGGAATTCTGAAAAGTGAAGTAGTTTGAAACAAAGTTTTGCATCATTCAGCTAAAGAATTTTCCTGGGCTTATCAGCTGGAATTATCTCAGACAGCACAAACATAAATGACTGTCAGATCTCTGTTTCATAAATACTGTTTTTCTTCATCGTGCTGACTTCTATTTTCCAGTTCTCTCGTTATGGTCCTCCACCTTCCCTGAGTTTTCCTCTGTATCTTTACAATACTTTTCTCTTGCTTGTTAAGAAACAACATCAGAAAAAAAGAGGAAAAAAAAAAAAAAAAAAAAAAAGAAAGCTATCATCATCTTTCTTCTAATTGTTGAAGTTTTAGCCTTTTTGAAATGTCTTCTAATGCCTCAAATAAATAAAATGTTATAGCTAGCAGTACCTTATTACAATGTCTCCCTCAGCTTCCTACCCCCTTAGGTCTCTGTGGCTCTATAGAGCCAGATTTACCCACCAAACTGTTTCCTCTGAGGAGAAACAATTACTAGGCAGGCTTCTCAGTGATTAGAAGAAGATGAACTTCTATTTATTTCATTAGCTAACGTGCACTTCAACAGTTGCTTAGTCTTTGCTGAATTACAGGTTGCTGTTAACAGTCTGCGCTTGTTTAACTCTGAGATATGCTTGGTCTGGTCCAATTAGTCTGGAAATCCTAATCTTCCCAAGCTTTTCTTAAGATGAGATGCATATGATGGGCAAGGTCTGAGTTTAACAGGAAAACTTGAGCTAGTCCTTTTTGGTAAGAGCAGGATTATGCAGCAGGCTGTCTGTCACTGATGTAACTCCATGATTCTACCCCCAGAAGCAGAAGGTTAACATTAGGAAAACCATCCTCTGCTTGCTCAAGCAATCACTCTGGGAAAGTGGCTTATAGCTAATTGATTTCACAAGATGCTGTCGCAGAAAGAAAATCAGCTGCATATGCTAAAGGGGGGCACATATTGTAAGCACTGAGTAATGTGTGAAGTTTTCTGGATAACTAATCGTGAAAAATTGAGCATCCTTTAGCATTGCAATATCACTGGCTTGCAAATGGTATTAACAAAGTCATGAGATAAATTTTTGCAAATCATATGTTTCTTTAATGGCTCATATTTTGGCTTTGTTTCTCAACTGGACTCTGTTTCATACAGAATAACTCATTGGCCTCAAAGTAATGTTTTAAAGTTACAGAATATTTCCAGTGTTCTTGTGAAACAGCCCTCCCGATCTCTGAAAATGCAGCTCCTGTGGGACATCTCATATATCAGTGCTATAAACGTAACAAGCCAGGGCTGCTTCAGTCTGATGTAAAGTGAGGAAACAGAGTTTGCATGTAATTTCATAGCAAAGTACATGAGATACATAGCATAGAGGACATCTGTTGTTTCTGACCCTGTCAGTGATTTATTTCCCTGAGATCTAATAAAGGAGAGATAATGAATTTACAACTTTAGCCATCAAATATATTTTTTTAAATTCATAGAATCACAGAATCACCAAGATTCGAAAGGACCTCCCAAGGTCATCCAGTCCAATCACTCACCTATCATGAATATTTCCCCTCATCCCTCAATATAACATCTAAATGTTTCTTGAACACCTTTAGGGGCAGTGACTCCACCAGAATCTCCCCTGGTGCAACTTGAGGCCATTCCCTCTGGTCCTATCACTCATAAATTCATAAATTTTCAATTTAAAAAACAAGTATTTTCATATATATTTTTTTAGAAATGGAACAGAAGAGGCCTGCTGTAGGCATACAAAAATGTGTTTGAGATAAGTTAAACTTCAGTACTAAATTTTTTTTTCTCAGGTTCAGCTTTAAAAGTGGGAACTATTTAACTAAGGAATGATGAGATAAGCTCCATTGTTGGTTCTTTTGAGTATTCCTCAGATGGTTAAGCTTACTACAAGACTCTAATATTAAAGTAAGTAGACATCTTCTGGGAATTTCCTCTCTAGCAAGAAGGTCGGCTATTGCTTCCATTACAGAGAAATGCCATATTTGAAAGTATTCTTAAGGTCAAAGGGCTCCAAGTGATATTAGAAAGCAGTGGCTGTACAATAGGAAGTGCTCAGTCTCTCAGCACTTTAAATAGACTGGAAAAAATGAGAGAGGGGAGACATGCTCCTTCTGAAAGGTGCCCAGGAGGGAGAAATTTTCCACTAATGTATTGAGCCATGGTGAAATTAAGGAAACAAAGTCTGCAGGAAACATGGATTATTTCAGCCTCATGATAAAAATAAAACAACGTTTTTACATTTCTAAAAAGTGCTACTCAGTTGATTATATGTAAAAATGAGTGGGGCTAGTTTACAGACTGAAAGAATATTCACTATCTGGCAAGGTTTAGTTTTGCTTTTTCCTCACCTCCCCATTTTGGATGTGACATACCCCTTAAATTTGAGTTCAGATGCCAATTCCCCTTCTCCTAACAGACTGCTGGGCATAGAGGATGCACATCTAATAATGATGAGTAGCTTTCCATGCATAGCCTTTCATGCATGGATGTAGTATTGCTGACGAATGTAATAGTACATACATTTCTGCTGTACTGCTAAAATATCAGCACATTCTCTGCAGTATGTGAGTCATAGTAGCTCCAAGGCAGTATAGCAGATGGTGCTCTGAGAGAAACAGTGTGCCATATCTGATATGCTTGGAAATAAATGAGAAACATCTTCCCTATAAAGAAAACAGAACCACAATATTTTCCTGCTCTTTCTATGTGACAACATGTTGACTGAATGGAGCAAAAAGATAATTGTAAGACATTGCATAGTACCTGCATCAGCCAGAGCCCCTTCAAGGTACTGCTGCTCCTCCGCAGTCTCAGCTTACCCTACCACATCTTCACCAGCATTATTCCTTGCAATCCTGTTCACACGGACAGTGTTCACCAAATATGACTTCTCATGCACTTCCAAATATACTTCAAATACTGCAAAAATATGCTGTGTTGCTGTATGTGAGTAACATGAGAAGTGTGTATTAGACCCAAAGTTTAATAAAAACATGTTTTATCCACAAAAATATGCTTTGCTGCCTTTTGAGGCATCAATACAAAAAGCTGTTAAAATTCAGTTTGTGTGCCAAATATTTAGACCAACAAAGTAGTACAAAGGAAAAATAAGTATCTTGACAACTGTTTTAAAAAGAAATGCAGCCAATAAATTTAAGTAGCTAAGCATTCGTTTTCCTCTACTTGATTGCCTAAACAACTTATTTTAAAAATAAAAGAAGTAAGTCTCAAAGTGAAGATGTAGTGGGGCAGTAGCAGCTTTCTGAAGAGGGTATTACAGTAGATACATCCACTGTACAGTAGATACACCCTGATGCAGGATCTAGCATAGCAAGCATCTTTGAGAAGTATGTTGAGTCTGGAATACCATAGGAAGTTTAGGTTTTTATGAGACTAAGATACACAGAGCATAATCTTATTCTGGCAGTTGTTTCTTTCTCGTTTTGGTCTCTGTAAGAAGTTTTCCAAATCTTTTAGTCGTTTTAGTGTTCTTCTCAGCCTAATTCATTTGTGGCCATGAATACTCTAAGGTTATAAAGTTTCCAAAATATGAAAAAAAAGCTAATTGACATACTTTAGCATCATTCTGAGATGGTTTAGATTGACAGAGTGATGAGACAAACAATAATTCTGAATCACATTTTTTAAGAAAAACCAAGACTCTGCAAAGCATTTTAATAGATAGGTAATCTGTTGAAGAATAACCTGATAATCATTAAAGAGAGGAAACAGGTAAACCAGGAAAGTCGAGTAAGAAACAAAAGTGTTTCTTCAGTTGTGTCTTATAGTCCTTGGCAATTCCTGCAGTAAATTTTAATACTTTTGCTGGGGGAGCCTTTCAAATAACTATTTGTTTGAGCTGCTCAGAGACCAGGATGTGTCTTCTGTGTCAGTGTGCTGTCCTCACTTTAATCGTTGCATCCCTTTTGTGAGCTACATAGCCCTGTTCCATCCAGTTTTCTTTAAGCCTGCAGCTTTTTCTATTGACCTCCGGATTCAATAATATTCATGATCCCAAGCCCCCTTCTTTAAGATGTTTTCTCCATCATGGATTAGAAATTGTAGCAGATATTGGACATCCATAATCTGTACAGAAATGGTCAAATTGTAGTTTTCTGGACTCTCTCTTTGTCTCAGGCATCAATGTTGTAGTGAATCCTCAAAGTATTTAATTCTAGTTTCATCTTGGCTTGTTTACAATCTGTTCCCACTGCACTTTTCTCAGAATGATGGATTCCCCATCACCCCAGTACTCCAAGTCATTAAACTCATGATTCATTTAATCTGGCATTGAGTCCCCAGAACTAATTAGGTTCAAACCCATTGCTTTAACTGTATTTGTGTCATTTTCTTCAGCCTGAATTTCTGTCCCCTAGCGCAGCTCAGTAACCCTGGAATGCAACAAACAATTTCCTGGCTGCTTTGGAGCAAACAAAAAGTTTATAAATTTTCAAAATCTACGATTATGTCTATTTCAGGATTTCTAGAAGATAGAGAACCTCTCTAAAGCTTTCAAGACAGTATGTCTGAGTGCACCACAACATAAAATCTATAGTAAGTAATCCATTGCTCAGGATTTTCAGGTAAATCCTGAGGTAAAGGATTTACCCTCTGCTCTTTTTGCAGTGCTGAGCAGAAATTAGTAGAGCATAACTGTTGTGCAAAGTGTCTTTGTGTTACATATTATCATTGTATGCATGAGCAGACAATGAAGTAGTCAACATTTCTGCTTGATACCTGTATTGTCATAAATAATTAACTTTTTTATAACTTTCAGAACAGCAATACTATGTGGTAATGCCAAAACAGGAACGGTTTACAACAGAATATTTTTGTAAAAGCTGAGGCACAGGTTTCTGATTTTTGTGTACTCAACAATGCAGAGAAAATAGATGTTGAAGCAGGTCAGCATACTCACTCATAACAGATGAGTAAGAAGGGAAAAGACTTGACAGACCTGACAGAAATTGATTGTGAGTTTTTATGTAAAATGGTAGAAGATTCATGTGTAAGTAAAAAAGTTGAAGCTGACTCTGAAACTGATGTTGTTATGTTCTCTTTACTGTATGGACTAGAAAGGTTACTGATGGAATGTTAAGTAACAGAGCAGGCAGAGATTGTCATTTGCAAGCTGGGCAATGAGAGTTTCCTGCAGAAAGGAATGAGATTAGGTTCATGCTTACTTGTTCTACAATCACCCCATCATCCTAAATTCCTTATGTCTTTAGTATGAATATTAAAATATTTATGTATCATATTTTGCACAAAAAAAAAAAAATCAGCCTGTGATGCCTAGAAATATCATATTTGCCAGTTTATAAACTGCTGAACTTAGGCTCAAATACATTGAAATTGTTTATTGCTTAGGCTCAAATACATTGAAATTGTTCATTGAGGCTTACAGAAAGTTAATTGTAGTGCTGGTACCAAATCCCAGCAGTCACATGACTACAGTAATAATCAGAGGTCTCTATCAAAATGAGCATCCCAGTGTTTCAGGTATGTTGTTAGAAATAGCAAGGTGATAGGACATGAGCTATGGAGTCGGAAAAAAAATGTCTTTCTAAAGACACACAGAGTAGGCCTCTTTCTGTTAAAAAGAATTCCACAGATGTCGTATCTCACTCCTCTGTACCTTGTTATACACTTTGTTCAGATGCCTTTAGCTAAATTTCAGTTGACTTTTCTATCGGCTTGGCTCTTTGGAAATCTCACTTATAAAGACTTTTCTTTTGTATTTTAGTATCTGCCACAGCAGATCATCAGAGCCATAAACATCAGATTTGTTGTGCATAATGTCAGATCTATTTGTAAATACTTGATGCAGATGGCTGAACATATTACCATGTAAAATTATTCCTTTGACTGCTACACTTTTTAGTAAGGTAAATAAGTTTATGTGGAATAATGTTTCCTGGAAATGTAACTGGCCCTTACTGGTCAAGAAAGGCAATTTCCCAGATCCTTTGCAATGGGTTTGGAAATCTGTACCCACTGGATGGAGGACACTGGTAAGGCTCAGCATACTGCTTGAAAGTTGATGCAAGGACAAGGCTAATGTCCTTTGCCAGCATCCAGCAGCTGTAAGCAAATACCAGGGAGAGTAAACAGCATTTTCAATAAAAACAGTCTGATTTTAGAGCCTCCGTTTACATCTGTCTCACTTCTCAATTAATTCAGAAACCTCAAACCTTGTTTCTCTGTTCACTTCGTGCTTTTGCAAATGTACAAATTAGCAGCTGACAGGATTTTGGCATAAGTCACTTGACACATAAACGTTGAGTCCATTTTTCAGGCAGAAAATATGTATTATGATTAATTTTGTAAAATAGTAAATAATTTTTATGCCTAGTATTAGTCATCTGAGAAAAAAAAAGTACTCCATGCAGCATTTATCTGCATAGATATAGACAGGCTTTGTTTCTTAAGCTAGAGGTCTGTACTTCTTAGACATTTTTATCAATGACTGTGCAAGTTAAATTGATATAACATTGGCTTAGATAATACATCTTGTATATCTCAATTTCCAATAAATAAGTGATGCCAGCAATTCTTTTAATCTTTAAGACTTTAGAAAGCACTGCAAAGATATTAATTAGAAATTTAACTCCTTAATGGGCTGAAAAAACAATTATTATTCCGCATTTAAAACACTTCTATATTTGTGTTCTGAAAATCCTCACTTAAGACATGTTTTGCTATAGCCCAAGGAGCAAAAGTTTTAGATTTCTTTGTCTGTCAACAAGGTGAAAAAATAAGGTTATTTTTTTCTGTGTGTACTTAATGCCAAAGAAATGCTATCCACTCATTTTCCTATAAAAATCTCAGCTCCTGTGTCTTTTGCAGAGCCATCTGCTCCTGCTAATATCCCACTGAAAATGAAGAATGTATTCAGCTGCTTCTTCTATATGGTAAGTACAGATTTTGACACACATGCTTTACTGCATTTATGAGTCTTTCTTAATTTAAATTCTAGATAAATAAAGACAGACTGGAAATTAAGGTAATCATGTTTCAGCAGACAAAGACCTCAAGAAAATTAATCAATAAAGTGAGAGTTGCCTATATATAAGCTCAGAGAATTTGCAAATTTGATTGAAAACACATCTTAAAAGGATCATTAGCAAAACATATGGAAAAAAATAGGAAGAAAGAAAAAAAACAAATTAGAACTGTATACTGTAAGGATTGTATAAAATTCATGCCCCAATCTGAAATAAAACGTGCATATATTTTCCAGTAAAGATTATAAAGTGTAATATAGGGACAAAACTATGATTGGCTAATGAGCTAAGACTACAGGAATGAAAATTACCACATTCAAGTCCCATCCAAAGTTGAAATATATGCACTCACACAAGGAATATCCATCCAGAATACTGAAGGAAGTGGCACAATATCAAACCTGGTATGCTGCTTAGCAGAGGAAAAACAAAAGTAGAATTTCCGTGTACCTTTCTTTGATAAAGGCTCTGTAACTGCCTTCCACATCCCCTACTTTTTGCAGTGATGTCATTTACATGACAGAGGGGCAGGTTTGGTTTCAGTCTGTATTCTGCAGCAATCTCTGCGCACATCTAAGCCAGGTGGCTAACCTACCTGTGTACATCTGCTCCTGCATCATTGCTTTCTTCCACTCTAGACTTGCAGATATGTAGTATATACTGCACCATTATAATCAGAAGAAAAAAAGCAAAGAAATGGGACAACGAGGCTGTGCAAAGCCTCAAAGGACAGGGATACCACTTAACAACCAATGAAAGGCTTAAATTCAGATATTTATAAGTGAAATTGCATGTATCAATTTGAATAATTTTAGCTTTCTTGACCCTTTCTTTACACAGAATATTCAGGAGATACAGGAAATTATTTTTTAAACCCATAAAGCATAAGGCTTATTTCCTCCTATGTAGAAAATTATCTCAGTTCATGCATTTCTATGGAGATGCAGTACTCAACTTCCTGGCAAATTCTTATTACATTTCTGCCAACCTCTTAAAATGTTTTCCTTCACCCTTATTGATTATGAGAAAAACTCAAGCCAAATCTTGAGGCAAAAGAAGCAGGTATATAACAAAGCTACAAGTGGCTAGCAATTAATTTATAACATTGTGAGACTGATATACATTGAGCTTTTTCCTAGAAGGGTAGAAGGTGGGAAATCAAACTACAGTACGGGAAACTCTGAGCCTGCCTAGTCTTCTCTGCCTGTCCTGGCTTCAGCTGGAGCTGTTTTTCTTCATAACATTAGGTATGATGCTATGTTTTGGCTTTAGGAGAAAAACAGGGTTGATAACATAGCAGTGTTTCAGTTGTTGCTGAATGGGGCTGTACAGAGCCCTCTCATCTTCTAATACTGTCCTGCCAGCAAGGGATGCAGACAGGGCACCAGGAGTTGGAGGGACAGAACCAGGACGGCTGATCTATACTGACCAAAGGGGTATTCCATACCGTACCACACCGTGTGGGGAAACTGTAAAACTGAGGGGTGTTGGCCACTGCTCAGGGACTGGCTGGGCATTGGTTGGCAGGTGATGAGCAGTTGCTTTGTGCATCACGTGTTCTACCCTCTTTTTCCCATCCATCCCACAATGGATGGTGGTGGAAAATGTGAGGAAAGGGCTGTGTAGTGTTCAGTTGCTTGCCAGGTTAAACCACAATGCTGCCCCACCTGCCACTGAATTAATTTTTTTTTTCCTGGACTACAAGCCAGTCTCTCTTTCCCAAGAGACTTCTTTTGTGAACTGTAGCTTCATTTCCAAACTAAAGACACAACAAAAAGCTGTTGAATCAAGAACAAGCTGTCTGAGTTGATAACCTTCAACTATAGTTTACAAGTGATGGACTCTTCCACGAGCCCTGTATCACATCTCTCCTGGAGTTCACTGACCACACAGTTCTACATATTTTTCTTCTGGTCACATAAATGATCATACTTTCACTGAAAACAACCCATTTTTTCAAAGCCTTGTCCTTGCTGGAATCACTACCCACATTAAGGACCTACTCTGATCTCATACATGCAAAAATACGATACTTAAATACTCCTGAGAGAGCAGTGGCAGGCGTGGCTTCTGCTCATTCCACTATCAAAACACTTTGCCACAACTGGAGAAACAGAAGAGATGGAAAGATAATTCAAAATAAAAATAAAAATCATTGATGTTAATTTTGGAATAATCTTCATGTTCATTACCCTTGAAATAGTAGCATCACTTTTAGTAGTTACTTCTTCCTCCTTTTTTGTTTAGCAGATGTTCACAGTGATAAGACACAGCAAAATAAAAGCAGATCTGGCTCTCTGCTTCCAGACCTTATTTCTGCCTGCTTCTTCATACGGTTTTATTTTTAAACTCTCTCCAAGGAAGATGTAGCTTACTTTAGGGCTTACTTCAAGGAAGTTCCCTACAAGTTCCCATATGTGTCTGCTTAACCCCGAACAGCTCATCTCTGTAAATCAGCAGCAGGCCCAGCAGCGACTGATAACTGTATGGAGCTGATGGGCTTTGCCTATTTGTAGTGCAGTCAGTTCACTAATGAGGAGCTGGCAAGAGGCACAATGCACCCTGGACCTCATTAAAAAGGCTTATTTTGGCTTGCTGAAACATTACCTCAGGAGTTGAGCACTGGCACATTGCTGCAGAGAGGGAGGCCCTGCTTCCCTGACAGAGGTGGTTCCTTCCTACGTTACTCATAAGTCAGCTGTCCTCCCTGTCACTCTTTCTTCAGATGTGACACTGACACTTGGATGAAAGCGGGTTCAACTCAGAGACCTGCCAATGGCCACCTCTGGAGCATGGGGAGACACCTGCAGTGCCTTTAAAGCTCACTCATCAAATTGCATAGACATCCTCTTGACATAAGGGGCACAACATGAGGGGTGGGCACTCACACAGCCTGCCCTGTGCCATGCTGCCCTCCTGGGAGCCCCACTGCTTGCAGAGGGAGGAAAAGCCCTGAAGCGCTTACCCTGCTCTAACCAAACCTCACTATTCTGTTCTCTCAGGTATGGCAGCTGTTTAAAAGTGAATGGCAGTAATTAGTACTTCCTAACCTGCTCTCATTTTCCTCAGCTGTCATGTCCAGGTTTGCTATTTTCAGCTCAGACACGCTGGCAAAAGGGATGCTTATGGAGGAGAGCTCAGTCAGTGCCAAGTCCAAAATCTCTGAGGCTGCCAATTGTTTTGCTTGGAGGCTTATCTCCAACCTGGCCTAGCAGAAGAATGAAAACATGACAAATCTGATTAGTCTTTATTCAGCCCTCAAGTATGTGACTACTCCTGCTGTAAAAATGGAAACCCGAGGCTCTGGTTGTGCAAAAATTACTTTAGAAGGGAAACAGCGACTTGAGCTGTGACAGCAGCACTTCCAGTCAGGTGGAAAAGCCAAGCCACAGACAGCCAGTGCCTGTGCCTGAGCTTAGTGTGTGGTGCCTGCTGACTGCGGCGCTGGTGGCCCATGCAGGAGGCTCACATGAACCTGATGGGAGCTGGGCTGCTCTGGAATGCCCCTGCAGGAATTTAGCCTCCTGCTGTGCTGAGCAGTCTCTGGGATAGGCACACAAGTGCCAGCAGAAGTGGAGCTCTCCAGACAGGTTTTCATTTCTAAGACACTGGATGCAGAAGCATTTGGAAAATGGTGGAAAAGGATCTTATCTGCAGATTTTCATTAGCAAAGATCAAAAGCTGGTTTAAGTTAGCCTAATTATTTACTTATATAGCATTATATATTTCCAGGTCCATGTAAGAAGCACAGTTTCAGCTGCTTTGCTTGAGCTACTGCGTTTGGTGTTTGGAGACCACCAACATCCTTTAGTTAATATGATGGGAATTTGCTGGGCATGTGGCTGCTAGGCTATCAACTCAGAGGTGGGATTTATATGAAGAGATATACAAGAAATGCTTTTCTAAATTAGCAGTGGGTTTATTATTAGACAGGAATATCCTGGCCATGGATCTTCAACAAGATTTGAGCTGTGGTTTTGTTCTATGTTTGCACAGAAATACGATGCACATAATTATATAATGGCAGCAGCAGCCAGCTCTTTGAGACGTCCACCAGAGGACGCACGCCTGGAGCGCACCTTCACAACAGACTGCTAGCTGTCCCTGCCCTTTGAGGCTTTTGTGTCTCCTGCTGACAGTACTCTGCCGTAGTCCTGGCCCCAGCTGTGCTGCAGCCTCCACCTTGCCCTTTATTCACGATGGAGGTGCAGCAGATTTGATACATCCTGTAAATTTATTGCCATGAAACTGCAGTCTTATCAAGTTTTCTTTTCCTTTATTTCACACTTTCTTTTTTAAAAAAAAATGGTTTTAAAATCTCTTGATTTTCAACATCAAGTCATTTTTTATATGTTATATTGTTGCTTGTTCTTTTTATGTACCGCTCACATCTCAGACAAGCCGTAAGTCATACTACTTGATTTCACCTCTCCTTATGGATACAGTGGTGACATTTCTTTAAAATGCAGTCTCAGTCCAAAAACATTTGACTGAGGAGGATTTAAAACCAAACAACCAAACAAAAAACAAAATCAGAGATATTACCTCTGTTGCCTAATATCTCTGCTTAGCCTAAGATAACTTTGATCCCAACTCCTTCAATTATTTACTGGACAGAAGCTCAGATGAACTTGCTTCTACTGCTTTTGATGTTTATTTGATGAGAGACTACTTTCTTGACATAACTACATGGAGCTTTAAGAAACACTTCAAATTATCATTAGAAAGCTGCTTTTTGTTTTTTTTTCTAATTTAAAGAACAAGAAAGAACCCATATTTCATGTTTGTGATCGTCATAAAATAAAAGCAAAATTAGATAAGTTCCATAAATTGAACTCCCTGCACATGGCATCTTCCAAATAAACTGTAAGAAGCCAATGTTTCCTGATTCTTTCTGGTATTGAAGAAAAAAAATGAAATGAGTTATGCAGGTTTCCATCCATTCTGCCTAATAACTGATACTGAAAAAAATAATAAGAGATAATTTATCTCAAAAAAAAAAAAAAAAAAAAAAAAAAAAAAAAAACAAAGCACAAATATTGAAGGAAAGGAAAAAGGAAAGAAGGAAAGGAAGAAAAAAAAATGTTTCTTCCCTGAAAGAGATGGAATGACTGTATCACATTCCTTTTTCCACTGTCAGTCAGCAAGATTTGTTCTATAAGAAAAGTGACACTGTGCTGTTGTCTAAATACACATTCAGTAAAAGGATTTCTTGCAGGCAAAGTTTAAAATTGCACAGTAAATTTGATTAAGAGATTTATTTTTCCAGCATTCAGACTCAAGACTGGAACACAGTGAGTTGTAGGAGCGCTGCAGGAGAACAGATGGAATGTTCATTTCAGAAGAAAGTTGCCGTCGTGGAGTGAAAGACATCCTGTGGTACAGGGATTCTGTCTCAGTATCAATATAGCCTAGGAAGTGTCTCCTTAAGATGCCCTTACAGCCGCTCCAGAGCCAACAGATTCAAGGCTGAATCAGCAACATGATAGTCCTGCTTGGTCCTCAGTTGCAGATATTCAATATTAAATATGGATTTGATGAGTGTTGTCAAGCCCCTAGAACCAGGAAAGCCAAATCTCTTCAAGAAAAGCCTCTGATGAGCACCAGGATAGGGAAGGTTGGAGGAAAATGAATTGCCACAAGAAGACGTGAGGGAGCTCCAAGCACTCCGTAACACAGAGAGGAAATCTTACACAGCCATTAGATGCCAGCAGATCCTGCCAGTCCAAGGTGCTCTTTCAGTCGTCTCTCCATGAAACAGGGACATTGAACGTGGTAAAAAGTTAGTGTCTAAAGCATGTGATGTTTCTTTTTAAAAACGTTTCTTACCTAGTACTGTTTATACACCAGAAAACTTTTTATCCTTACATACAAGGTTTTGCTGCCAGAAGAGTGGATATTCAACATAAGTATTTTTTCATTAATTGTTATGAGATAAAGGATAACATGCTTTTTCAGTAGATAGCTCTTTTTTTTTTTCCCCTGAGTATTACTTTAGATTAGTGGCAGCCTAATTGCTACTATTTATCAGAAAGCTAATTTGATCAATCAAGAGAAGACAGATCTATGGCCCTCCACTGCACAATATTGAAAATGCTGGTTTGAACAGGTTATAAATCCATGTTATGTGATCAAGCTGAAGGTTCAAGGAACAGCCACACTGAAAAATAAGCAGTTATGTTCAGGCTATAGCCTTGAGATCATTCCTAAGCTCATCCCTCTAGAGACTGACTTATGAGCTGCTTACAACCCTAAGAAATTTGATAAAGCAGTCATACAGATCTCTGAATTTTCTAATGTTAAGAGATAAATTTGTAGGTTTACAGAGAAAATTTTTTTAAAATTCAGAGAAAGTTATTTTTTTTGGTTCTTGGAGAAGTAAAAATCTGAACTTCCCTGTAATTAGACATCCTAGGAGAGCTTTTAACCCATTTGCTTCCTTCTGTTAAAAACTTTTCAAGACCCCTGGCATTCTCTGTATCTTACTCTAAGAAAATAATTATGTGTGGCCTGTGTTAAAGATGACATGTTCTGGCAATATACTTTACTTTCTCATTAACATTTTCTGGAATATCCTTTTGTCTCCAAGACTGAAGTATATGCACATCTGCTCAGCTTCGCAAAAGCTGTAGGAAGGAAGCATCCATGTTTGGACAGAGTTGTTAGTAGCTGGCTTGCCTGTCACACAGCTCAAGTAGCTGGTTCTCTGCATGCAGTGCTAACTTCCATGTCGAAGTGTTAATTAATAGTAATGCAAAGGTCACCTGTCTACAACTGGAATTCCTCCCCTGTGGAGAAAAGCAGAGAGAATCAGTGATGCAAAAGAGCATACTAAAACCACCATAAAAACAAGAAGCAGGCTTGTCTATTCCCTGAGTTTCTCTTACAAAAAATAGGATGAACAGTTTGCATGCTGGAGTACAATTTCTCACAGATTATATGCACAGACAGATCCTGCTAAAGAATGAGAATCTTGATGTAGGTAATACAAATTCTCTGATTTATATTTCCTACAAAGTTTGTAAATGGGTGACAGAGTGGAAAAAGGAATGTGATGGAGTCATTCCATCTCTTTCAGGGAAGAAACCTCAAAACAATGTACAACTCTCGCATTCACAGCCTCGCTGAGAAAAATACTTGCAGGAGAGCAGGGCATGGAAGGTGGTAACTGTGGAGAATATGAAACTTGAGTTTTTGCTTTGGCTATGGGGTCAGTTTCAGTTGCAGTAATTTGTCTTTGGACCTGTATCCTCATATGGCTATGCTTCATCTCAGTCAGAAATTAAATCCAGGAGGATGCTAAGAGGTTAGTTCAGAATGTAATAAAAATTATGCAAGAAAGGTAGCTTTCCTTGGCCTCTTCTCCTATGCAAGAGGGACAGTAAATCAGGTAGAAAAACAATCAGAATGCTGAATTTGTTGAAATATATGGCAGAGAAAGAGAAAACCCTTTGCGCAAGCCATTTTCCTGCATGGTGAGTCCGGGAATTTATGTGCCATTAAGTGCTCAACAAAGACTGTCTCAGGGTGAAAACATAACTCCTTCAAGCAGTTGTGAACAAAGAGTCAGGATCAGCCTACACAATTAAACTTTGCTTTCAGCATCCAGTGTGCTAGACCAATGTGCTTTTATACAATGAAGAAGGAATGTTAACTACAAAGAAACTTTATAAAGAGTGAATTAACCTTTCATTAAGACAGGTCTAAATTTGAAAGCTAGATTTTCTGACACGAGAGCATTGTATTACCATGGGAATATGCATCTGCTGCTCCTTATGGTTGTATGGTTGAGATAAACATGTCCAGAAAACCGTTGATGCTCTCCAGTCCTGTCTTATACTGCCAGAAAATATTTAGAATTACTTACATATACTTGTGATTCATTCTACCAGACAAAACTGTGTGCTACATAAAGACAGATGTAAAAGAGCTGTGTGTTCTGTCACTTTTCTGGTAGATTGTATCATACTGAGACCAGCTGGAGTCAGCGAGATGGTTCATGCAACTGTTCATATTTATCTAGAAGTTCTCAACATGTTCATTGAAACAATACTTCTTTTTTTACTCAAGAAAAAGATATGCAGAGAAATATAAATTATTGGAGCTCTTCTGTGGAGCTCTTCTTTGCAGTCAAGGCTTGTTGCTTTCGTTTCAGTTGCATGTGGAGATGGGTGGAGTGTAGCAGTCACCAGACAGAAAATAAAACAAAGCACTTGAAGCTGGCAGGCGGACCAATACAACACAGTAAAAGTTGGCAACAAAGCCTTTGAATCATTCCAGAAATAAAATAGTAGGGATTTACGCTTTGCACAAATATTACTCTGCAACAAAATTATATGAATCTTCATCAAGAAGCAAATCTAAAACAGGATTTTTTTTTATTTTTTTTTAAGAGGGCTTCAAAATTAAATACCTCTGTTGTCCAGTAACTGTGGAGTTTATAAGAGAAGACCATCTGTTCCAGAGACCAACAACACAACCTGTGCAGCCAGGCAGCAGGATAGCAGTAGGAAATGACTTCATAGGGGCCTATCACATCTGGTTTTAAAGCTAGTAGACTTTTACATTTCTTTTGTTTTTTTTTGTACTGCAATCTCTGTATGTCCCACAAAACCTTTTTGTCTGACAGGATTTATGAATTAGATGGCTGCTTTGAATTTATTTGTTTTTTAATCTATCTATGAACAGGAATATATATGATTACATAAATACACCCACAGTATAGCTGGGTGTTCTTGCAGCTTCTATCACTTCTGTGAACAGCAGTTAGGATTATATCAGGGATGAAGAAAATTTCTATCTTCATAAAAGATTGATATAAAAACTAATTACATGGACTCTCTTGATTACTTATCAGAAACCAGAACCAAACCAGAGCAGTAGTCCATTATCTGAACTACATAGCTATTTTTAATATGTGTAATTGTTATCTGAATGTAATTTTTGGCAATTTGTAAACATTTTCTTAAATTCTGAATATTGAATTCATTGAAACTTTAATGAGTGCATTATTGACCCATTTATTTTTGTCAAAAATTGAGAAAATGTATAATAAATAGCATTACATTGATCTGAAATTTGTTTGCTAGTTCTCGCCATGGTAAGAGTATCTGATGCAATACATCTAAGTGAACATATCCTAAAGTGCTTTAGAGAACTGCTATCATATATTTCTGTGGATGGTGGGATATGCAGTTTCTGTGCTTTTCTTTAACAGCAACTTTATGCAGGTCCAATGCAAATATTGTGGATATTGTACCAGGAAAACTACAATACGTAAGTGAGCCTCACTGACATTTCCTTTTAAATTCCTCTTTATAATGTCTATCTAAATGATTCCCTGGAACGATACCCCTGTGCATCACGCTTTCTTTTCAGGGCACAAAAGGAAAACTGTGACCTAAGAACTCTGAGAAACAAATGGGAAAGAATGAAAAGTCTGATCTTGTGACTCCATTTGGATTCTTCATCCAGCACTGTGGAGAAATTACATAGAAAGAGATGAAGTTCCTGCTATTGCTGTAGGAGGAATAACAATATAACGGAGAAGAACAAAGAATAATCTTAAGGTTATGCCACAGGGAATCAGCTGTGGTTCTCCTGCGCTAGAGGTGAGCAAGGTGAGTGAGTTTATCTAAAATAAATAAATAAGAACTGGAAATATTTGAATGACCTCACTATTGGAAATACTGCATGTATTAGTCCTACATTATTATTGCATGCAGAATTCTCCCCTTACGCGCTTCCGATGAACTGCCACTTGTGTTTTTTCTGGCAGTATGAAGGAGTAAACATTGGTTATCATGCTTAGAGCTATACTGGGGCCTAATTGAAAAGAGGAAATTTGCACTAGTAAAGAAACCCACAGTCTTCCCTCCCACACCCTGTTGCTCATGTCAGCAACTCTTTGGCAGGCATAAGTGTGACAGCTAGCCCAAAGCTACCCCTCAAGCCTTGGGACGGGAAGTTACTGTGCCTTCTGCTGAAAGCTGGCTTTTATACAAAGGGCCAGGGTTGCAGCCCTTTTCCTAAGAAGTCTGATTTCTTGTGTATAAGCTTATGCCTTCCCTCTTAGTCTCATAAGAAGTAAGGCCAGAAGAGACTTGCTTAATCATATGCTATTTTGTTCTCGAATCTTAGGAAGCTATCTCCTGTGACAGCAAGACTTGATTCAGAGGCAATCTGTCTAAACAGTTACTAGGCTTGTTCAGAGTAGATATTGAATTAGTTTGGAAAACTTGAAGGTTCAGTCTTATGGGATAGGGTGTATTCTAGGGGTCTTACGCTCCTCCCAGAGCTGACTAAGCCTCATCACTGATGGATTTGAAGGAGGTGTGCCTTCACATATTCTGCTTTTCCATTGTTAAAATTCTGATCACTATTATTGATGACAGGAATGCAACGTAATGTGTGCAAAAATGAACCAGGCCTGCTGAAATAGGAGCACATTAGTGATGTATCAACCAGGAGAGCTTGTACATCTCCTGAGGAAAAATTTTAAGTTGTTTGTCATCCTCATCTGTTTACAAATGGCACGTGCTATCAGTGTATTGACTGCAGTTGTTACAACGTATGGATCGGCTAGAAGTAAAAAAGCATTCTCTATACATGAACTCCTCTCAGAACCGAGGATGGACAGAAAAGATTGATGTACATTTGCAATCTGTGAACCATTTTCAATCAACTTAATTTAGGTGGTCCCTGGATATCGTAGATGAATATTTGAAGCTACCCTATTAAGGTTAGGGTAATTAAATTAATTTTGAGCCTCAGCTACTGGATTTTCATAACAAACTACTGATATTCAAGAAAGTAAAATGGAGCATTTATATTTAATTTTGATCCCAGATCTGATACTTGCAGGACAGCACCTAAGTTGGGAAGTCTTCAGATTCAAGCCTACCATCTTCTGCCTCCTCCCAACTTTTGCATATCTCAGCAAATTATCCCAGCTGTGAACCATTCAAGGAGTGAGTTTCTTATTTCCACTTGTCTGTAATCAGGGCTTTAAAAAATGCTGATGCAAATGCAAAGTTCATCCAGAAGGAATATAAAAAGGGTGAAACAGCAGGACAATGTAAATTCGAGACCTCCGTATTATCTGCTAAGTTAGAAGGAATTAAATGTTTATATGGCAAGTTCTTGGGCACACGGGATATGCAGGTACACTTGCAGCCAAGAGACGTAAGCCAAGCACTGAATTCTCCACATATGCCCTGCATCCAGTTTTCCTGGGTACTGAAGTTTTCCAGCGGCCCCTGCAATGCGCGGATGAGCTCCATGTTCCAGCCCCTTCTCTCCCTCGGTACAGTTGGGAACATGCTGCAGAGGACATCCCTGAGTTCTGACAGCCATACTCAGCTCTTGCATCTTAGATGCCTGTCCCAACTTCTGTGAGGCACGGGGAGACAGGATGTTTTGGCACTTGTAGAATGAAACCCTCCAAAACAGAGAAATGACGAGATTTTAAGCCTTGCCTGTCTGCCTAGCACTCAAGTAAGACACAAGCAGTAACAGCTGGGTCAGCTATGAGAAAATTCTTTCACATGATTAATACAGAGAGGCAGTTGTGACTTTTTTAAATCCCAGAGTCTTTTTTGTTCTGTATTTTTCCATACTGAAAACCAGGCAGCTCCTCAGGAAGAAAGGAGTAATGTTTCTATTTGAGAAAGTAAGTGCCTTAGAGAATGATGTGGTTTAATAGACATCATGCACAAACCACAGCGTCTTCTGTCTGAGGATTTGCAAAGTAAGCACTGGATTTCTCCTCACCACCCAAGGTACTTTGAAATGGCCACATGGCAGGGTCTAAAGGAAAATGCTGAATACTATGGGATATTTTCTGGTGATGGTCAAATGTTGCACTGCAGAGATTTCAATAATAGAGAAATGGATTATCAAGAGATGGTAGCCAGGTAATGTTATGGTAGCCAGGTTATGTTATAAGTAGGCTCTTGATTTAGGCCAAAATCAAAACAACCTGAACTGAATGGTGCAGTGTGAAAGATGAGGCAGATGTCTTCACACCTGATCCCTTCAAGGCCTAGATCTCTTTGTTTTGCCATTGAAAGTCCCTCTGATGAAGCACAGAGCAGAAAAACAAACGTGGAAGCCAGACATCAGTCTCAGCAAAGTAATAATATATAATTATCAAAGCTCACAGAGTAATCAGGGTGAAACTACCCAAAAAGCACCTTTACTTGCATCCTCACCAGCTTCACTGGTAGTCAGCAAGTGAGATTTGATCTTACAGCTCTTAATAGATTTCTATATATTAGCATTGAAAGAAAGGATTTCAAAGGAATCATAGCCTGAAGTCTGCTAGTGTCTATCTTTTCCTCAAGGGATAAATTACAGAAAAGTAATTTTTAACAAATAGGAACAAAAGATGTGAGAGTGATTTGAAATATTAGCAAGTTAATTAATGTTTTAATACATTTTTTAAAGGTAGATCTAAAAATAACCTTGGGTATTTATATACGTAGATATAGTTCTAGCTGACAACGTTATAGATACAATGTCAGAAAATCATGGTTCAGAAGAGGAAAATCTGAACAACGCTCAGGATTTATTTTCATCTATAAAAGAGTTGTTGAAATCCTGTTCATTTTTTTTCTTTCTTTTTCCAAAGCCAATGTTATCCTGACTTTTCTATTTTGTTCTGTTTTTCCTGAATTTGTCCTTAGATAGTCTCAACAGTAATGAAATGAGTCAGAAGATCCAATGTTTGTTTGTTTGTTTTTTTTAAATAACAGTTTTTTTCACAACTGTATCAAGAACAGAGGTCTAATTTCCCTCTGCCACTATAATACTAAAACCTTCATTGAAATGAAAAAAATCATTGATAAAATCACCACGAGCAACCCATCAAAATCCATATGAAAGTTTGTATGGGAACTGTTAGGTCACAGCCTGCACTTGTGATTGAGCACCTGGGGAAGAGGTGTGACTAGCCCTAGGAGCACAGGTGCAGGCAATTCACCTGCTAGCCCTAGGAGCACAGGTGCAGGCAGTTCATCTGCACAACAGGACAGATGCACCCTGGGTAAACCTCTCCCTCATTTAAGGGCCAGCAGCGAGGAGGGCAGTATCTATTTTTGGAGATCTTTGTTTCTCTGGGAAGTTTTCAATGGAAATTCATTTGGAGTAAGGTAAGTAAGTATTCTTTTCTTGTTACTGGTCTATGACTATTGCTTTTCAAGTGAGATAGTTAAATTGGATAGAAGCAGTTTAATTCATTTCCTTCTCTGCCTTAAAGTCAGATAAAGCAAATAGTTTCTAAAAGTATTGCTCAAAGAAATGATGACTTGATTTTATTTAATAAATGAAAACATGAACTACAAGGTATAATCTAGATCAAAAAATAATGGATGGTGAAAATAGCAAAAGATTAAAAACAACTCCTTGATATATGATCAAGGGATGTACATTGTATCACTTCTTAAGTGATACATAAATATATAAATGATATAAAAAAATGATATTAAAAAAAAAGATAAAATGAGGATCCTCTTAGTTACTTAGCTAGAGCTAAATGTATTCAAAATAAGCTTGAATCAGAACAGTGTAATGAGAAGGGGGTAATTGTGGTTCAGCAGCAGAAGTAGTACAAGAATACAATATGTAAAAGAAGTTAGTAACTTTAAAAAATAGCTTTATATCTTTGACGTATATAACAGATGAATGAAAAAGAAATTTAGTTTTCAGGATGACTACCATAAAAGAGTGTTTTTTTTTGTTTTTTTTTTTTTTTTTTTTTTTTTTTTTTTTTTAAAAAAAAAAACACCCACAAAGATTAAGAACATCGAAAGCAAAAGAAAAGCTAGAAAAATGAAGTATTTCTGGTGAGAGGGGGCAAAAAAGAACACACTAAAATGTTGTTGATTCAATATAAATTGCACTTCATATTGAATGACTAAAATGTAAGCATCACAGATAACAGGTATTATTAATGCACTGAAAACTGGTTATTTTAACAAAGCAAGCAATGGAAAACTAAGGAAAGAGGAAGAATGCTGTAAGAAATTCTACTTCAGCTTCAATGAGGAATTCAGAAGAAATCAAAGGACAAGGAAAAAAAGAAGAATCACTAAGAATAAGTGGATGTGCCCCATTGCTTGCAGACTAGGCACGCGCTTGTGTAGATGCGCCCCATTGCAAGGTGCAATCTCCTGTGGACGTGCCTTTCTGTACATGCACCCTGTTGCTGTTGAGGCCCTCCTGTAGACCTTAATATGTTTCTGCCAGTTATTGCAGTTAACAGCTTTACTTCTCATTGCTCAGTACTATTGTGAATTAGGCTTTATTACTGCATCCAAGTAACTGTTATTGTAACTTTAAGCTGTATTATAGTTTATTCATACATTTATTATTTTATTTTATTATAATTCTCCTAATGAACACTTAAAACTGTTGTTAATCTACCCAAAATCTTGTTTATTCGGGCCTTTTAGAGCATTTTCTGGAAAATGTTTCAGTGATAGGATTGATAAAATACCGTGCTTTAACCATTATAGCTTTATGTAAAAGACCCAAACCAGCCCTGCCCAAGGAAATCTAGATTCAAACGGACTACCAAAAAAAACACCACTATATTCTCTATTTCCTTCTATTGCTTGATGGAACAGATCTTAAAAGTATGAAGAATCACCAACACATACAGCAAATACTGGAAAATATTATACAAACTGTGTTGTTGAACCTGTATTTTGCTCCTGGAGGTGGCCCTTTCAAAACACAGCTGAGTGTCTCTGCCAGCACTCGGTGCCAAGGCTGAAACTGCTTACTTTGTGCGTGTACTTGAGTTAAAAGTTTCCAGTACTGCTGACATCTAGGAGGATTTCTTTTCAGGAAGAAATGCAAGAGAAATCCTTATTTTGGTATTCCATCTGAAAGAAGAGTTTTCAAACAACCAAAAAAAAACAGACACAAATTTCTAGAGTTGGAAATCTCTTTTTACAGAGTTCCTGAGGGCCAAGGGTCTACATGAGTTCAAACTAACAGCATCCTGCTATTATCAGTTTTAAATGATGCTGAGTTTGTGGATTACTGGTATTAATAATGTTTAGCCAAAAAGGAAACTACAGCTTATAGTCTTATGGCTCACTTATGTAGTGCCAAACTCCTCATTGAATATTTGATCTTGCAGTCAAGAGCTGATTTCTGGTCACCACTCTCAGTGGTCAGAGGATTACACAGATGCAAATGCCAGTCCCAAGGCTCTAACAAGGCAAATATTTTCATATAATAAGGTAAGGAAAATGCATAAGGTTTCCATGAAAGGAAATCAGCATGCGCTCTTCCTAGTCACTGCTCCTAGCTATATTGACTCCTCGTCCACAATGCTTTCAAAATGTCTTGAATATTTTGACAAGCACTCTTCAGAAAAGACATTTCTGTTAAAAAGAGGAGTAAAAGCAACATGGAAGGGTTTGTTTGCTTGTTTTAACTATCTGTGGATCTCCATTGGAGGCTTTATTTTCTGTTGCTACAAAAAAGCGGTGTTCAGATCTTGGAAAGATTATCAATTATTTAAAAAAAAAATGGTGAAGAAAGAGCACAGGTTTTCATGACAAAATCTGGCATGCTGAGTTTTCATACTTCAAAGCACAAAGAGAAGGTGACGTTTTTGTGTGCCCTCTCTTGTTCCCCTTCATATTCTCTCCCTTCCCTTCACCCCCTCCCCCCCCCCCCATTCCCTTTTTCCCCTCCCCTATGGTTTTTGAACCTGTAGGGATCACCAGAAGGAAAGAAATGCCATCAAAACTTCCCAGTGTTGCTGTCAGATCATGTGTGACGCATGGTGATGGTCTACATGGAACTGGTGGAGCATAGTATGAATCTGCAGTGCAAAACTGGGTTGCCTCCAATAGCACCCCTGTGCACTGGCCCATGAAAGAGCATGGAATTCCACCATACACCAATCATCACTCATCTTAAATTGTATTAACATGCATTGCAAAGCATGTGTAAGCATCAGATCTCTGTATTAGTTAAGGTTCTTCCTGTAGTTAACTTGATCATTAGCTCACGTCACAAAGGGCTGGAGCACATGGGAACTATTAGTCACAACCTGAAACTTTGATCACCTGAGGCAAGAACTGTCAGCTGCAGGAGCACAGGTGAAGGCATTTCACCTGTGTGACCGGAGGGGTGGCCGTGGTCCACCTCTCCTAGACTCCATTTAAGGGCTGACTGCCACTGAGGAAGGATCTCTTGCTGGAGATCACTCTCTTTGGAGTTTTTCTGCAACTCTTGGACATAGGAGAGCATTTTCATTTATTTTTTATTTTCACTTTGCACTGTGATAATCCTGCTAGTTCTAGGACCTGAAAAATAACACTCTACAGACTGTGTATTTGTTGATTGTACGCCACCTCTGTCTCTC